TATATATATAAATTATTATTACTATCAACATTATTATCGACAAGAATAATAGTTTTGATCGTAGGAAATCTATTTTTCGATGCGTCATTGAAAATTTTTAAAAAATCTGAGTAAGCTGTCGATAAGTATTGAACATTATTATGATTAATTTAATGATAATCTAATAAATTTTATTGTTGTATTCTTTTATAGCTTCTTGGGATTGTTAATGGAGAGATGATATTTGACTAAATTTTAAAAAATTAACTATGTAAATGCATACTAATTTTAATATATTTTCTCGATATGCGTTATTTTTATAGATACAAATATTTTGATAATTGCTCTATTTATAATGAACAGTATTAACTATATTTACCGGCCTGAATGTCCGAGAAATTTCTTAGGAAATATGTGTTCTCCGACAGGAATTGAACCGGTATCCTACACAGGACCGTCATATAGCCTGACGTATTATACCATTTAGCTACAGACGAAGGCCAATTGCTTTAAATTAGTTTAAAAATAGTGATTTGACCAGACGCTTCCTTTGTAGCTAAATGGTATAGCATGTCAGGCTATATGACGGTTCCGTGGAAGGATACAGGTTCGATTTCTGTCGGAGGACACATATTTTCTATGAGATTTCTCGGACATTCAAGCCGGTTAATACTGTTTATTATAAACAGAGCATTTACTTAAATATTTGTATTTATAAGAAATGAAGTATAAACAGAAAATATATTAAAATATTTACCGGGGTTAGTCCATTTCATAATATATATACGATTACATTGCTTAAATCTTGTAGAGGACCGTGTCGGCGATGTTGTTGAGTAAATATAGAAGAACGCATATGGGGTTAAGATTTTCCTGCTAGCCAGTCCAACTACATGAGAAAGTTGGACTTTAATAAAGAAGGCAAAGAAAAAACAAACACAAGACCGATAAATATATGTAAACAAATATATGTATTAATAACAAGAAAGGTTACAAGTTACATGGGCAGTTACATGGACAGAGTGTGTGTGGTGAATATTATATATGTATGTGTGTGTGTGTGTGTGTAGGGTGAGTGTTCCTACGTACGTGTATTGTTTTTAGCGTGTTCCCAGCATTTGGGAAACGCTGTATCTACGAGCGTTCACATCTGCGAGGTGGTAAGGCTGAAAGCCTGAGGAAAAAGAGGAAGAGGCAAAGGGTCAGCGACTATTTATAGCCAGGAAAGAGAGACCCCTGGTGAAAGGTTTAACGAACTAAAGGAGGAGTTAACTCCGATAATCTTAATATATTTATGGGAATTAGTAGCCAATAAAACATCTAATCTAACTAATACCAATAACTCGGGACCCCAAAATCCTCATACATAAAACAAATTTGCTTATATTTATGATTTTCCGTGTTCTTTATTAGATTGTATCTCTAATAGAAATAATAAGAAACATTGATTTTTTACATTGGTTACAAAGAATTTCTCTATTCCCCACTCTCTCTCTCCATCTCCTAATCTCTCCATATATATATATATATATATATATATATATATAAACAATGGATACTACTGCTAATACTGCAAAGCTATTCCATGAATTGAGTCCTCTCGGTCATTGGTGTATTTATTTTAAAAATAGGTACGCTTTCTTCTCTCTAGGGCGCTGATAGCTCAGGGGCAAAATCTTCAACTGATGCCAAATCAGTTGGGACTCGATCCCGGCTTGAGGCAATCGGATGCCTAGCCACACTGATGAGCTGTGATACAGCGATTTAGTCTGTGGATGAAGATTTATATAAATATATATATATTAATGTATATTTGGGTAGTAATCTTTCTTTTAAACATCTTTCATTAAATATGGCAGACAAGGAGAAATGTTATTAATTTTTTATTTAGTTTTTTACCAGACGCAAAAATGTAAGAACGCTGGAAAAATAAATAAATTAATTAATAAAATTTTCTTTGTCCTTCATATTTAACGATATATATATATATATATATATATATATATATATATATATATATATATATATATATATATATATTACATCAATCATTCATACAAAAAACAGATATTGAAGTTAATGATATAAATGGCGAGAATACATGTTCGCAAACAAATTTAATAAATTACATTAACCCCGAACCTGCAGATGAATGTTATGATCCCTGTTTATAAACTCCAGTTGCATAAGGTCATTTTTATTTCTTTACAAGCTTTCGTCTGTGCATACAGACATCATCAGGTATGGAAATAGATTTGTTTTTTGCATCCCGGTAATAACAGGACAACGAAAGAATAGATGTAATCCGAAATATGTTTTTAGAAATGTGTTATATATATATATATATATATATATATATATATATAGATATAGAGAGAGAGAGAGAGAGAGAGAGAGGGAGAGGGAGAGAGTGAGTGAGTGAGTGAGACAGAGACAGAGAGACAGAGACAGACATACAGAGAGAAAGAGAGAGAGAGAGGGTACTTCTGTTTGATTTCTTGGTACGTTTTCACACTTCTAATAAAAAAAACTTTGGAAATTTTTCCAGATCAAATTTAAGTCTGGATTTAACGATTTTTAAAGACGTATTTTCATTTGAAAAGAAAATTGTGAAAGTTTTATATTGTTGTAGAAAATATATAGACTTTATGGAAAAGTTCTTTAATCCTGGGTATTACGATAAACTCCATCCATCAGCAAGCCTCTGATCGGTTAATAAGAGGTTTTCAGCTGGGACCTGTTAGGCCCACCCTAACCCGGAATTGTAGTACCTTTTAGGGATCCCAGCTATGGACAAATAGTGAACCCCCAAGCAAAAACAAAACACTATGAAAGCATAAAAAATACATTTTCATAGCCAAAATACCATCAATACATTATCAACGATATATATTTATAGTAAAATGACAAGAAATCATTTTATCTGTAGTTGAAGGCATTCAATAGCATTCAAAATATATTTAGTTGAAGCCGTCTGTTCCATGATATTTGTAGCTTTAGGTTCTATCATACAAATGGACCACTGCACCCCAACCCTTGGTAGCCCTGGTTAGACGATAAACTATATCCGGCAGTAAGACGTCTGACGCGGAGGTTTTGAGGATCATGGAACCACTTCTTAAATGCTGTTGTTCCCAGGTCCACACTAACCCGAGTTGGTAGCACCTGTTAGGGCCCCAGGTATGAGCAAATAGTGAACCCTTCCACCCCCAAAATAAACAAAAGACTATGAAAGTATAAGAATACATTTTTTAGTAAACCAACTAGCAATACGTATATTAAAATGACCAGTAATATGTTTCTATAGTAAAATGAACAGCAATAGATTTTCAAAGCAAAATGACCAGCAATATATTTTATAGTAGAATTAATAATATTTGATAGCAAAATAACCAGCATTACATTTTATTTGTAGTTGAAGGCATGCAATTGCGTTCAAATATTTAGATTTCGGCATTAAATAACCCATAGAGGTGTTGATATGCCGCTAAACAAAATCAACTAACCAACCCAAAATTCTCTTTGTATAATGCGAAATGATTGCTCTGCTTAATATGCAAGCGCAGACGCATATACGAATGGGGAAAAGGACATAAGAGTCTCTTGGTGGAGCTGAACTCGATCCAATCATATCTATAGTGACATGATTTTTTAAGATCCTCTTTAATAAATAATAAACCGTAATAAAATATGAATTTATCGCTCAGGGGTAAAAACGGTTCGTTAAATAAGGTTGAGTTACTTGTACTTTTTGCTTGCTGGGTAATGGAGAGGGGGATTTAAGTAAGGAAGTGTTTGTTAAAAAGATAGGTCATACGTATGGGAAGGGAGAGGAGAGAGAGGGAGTAATAGAGGTAGGGGGGATTGCCTGAATAATGTGTGACTGACAAATGAAAAGGTGTGTGCTATAGAAAGGTTGATAGGTTATATGTGGGTGGTAAAATGGAAAACGTTGGAAATGTAAGAAAAACTTAGTTTCATGGATAAAAAAAAAAGAGAAATCAGAAGATCAGTAACTAAACTCTTAACAGAGACATTTCACCTGGAAAAAAAAACAAGCTCACGAACGGAAGGATCGAAACCCTATTTAAGAATGGTAAATAAAAGACATTTTTGAATAGTATAAAATGAAGTTATGAACTGGGACTACACAGATGCAGTTGTGAAGACAAGGGCTCAGAATGAGAGTGTTAGACACAGTAAAAGAGAGAAACAGAAAGTGTGTACGTGAGTGTGAGTTTGTGTTAAAAAGAAAGAATTAGAATAGTACGGGGGTAAGCTGATAACTTCATAGACTGACTATGAAGGGGTAATGCTAGAACTGTGAAATCTTGCATGCATTAATTTCAAATCTTATTACTAACTGCATTGTTCCTTTCCAGGTAAACTGACATCTGACTGTTCAAAGCAAACTTTAAAAGTAACTAGTAACGACTTCTCTTGAAAATGGATAAAATTTGGCATCAATGTAGTCATTAATTCTCTCACAGCATATGCTAATAACATTGGCTATTTGATTTGTAATCAATAGCCTATCACCCATCACCATGTGATGAACTCGATTAATGTTTTCCATGATGGCAGCAATTACAGGACGTCCAGAACTTGGGTCAACTTCAAGACTCCCCCTTCCCTATCTAAATTCATCTCCCCACTTTTACACTGTTCATAAAGCTGTCGTGTCATCCCCTAATATAGGAAACATGACAGTATGAATGTCTTTGGGAACTAACCTCTCTTCCTGCAGGTACTAGATAACATCACAATGCTAAATTTTGTCCATTTTCAAAAGAATTTGCTACTAGTTACTTTTGAAGTCTTCTTTGAACAGTGAGATGACAGTTTATCTGGAAAGAAACAATGCAATTATTAAGGAAAGTTGGAATTAACGTATGCAAGAATTCAGTCTTAGCATCGCTCCTTCATAGTCAGCCTATAAACCTTTCGGCCTACATCCGTATATTCCTTACATTCGAACGAGCAAAGAATTTTTAAAACAACTCTGCATTTATCTGTTGTGTTTACGACCGTATCACGTTGAAACATTGGTTCTCGTACGATCACCGAAGTTAAACAACGTTGAGCCTGTCTAGAACCTAGATGGGTGACCGCTTTGGAATACCAGAG